CATACCATTGTGGAGAGTCGTGTTTGTCTAACATGGTATCAGAGTCATGCCCTAAAAACTTATGTCGACTAAAAGAAAAGGAGTCGAGCCTCCTCGAAGGCATAGTAAAAAATGACTGGGACTCCAAAAGAAAAAGGAGTCGAACCTCGATTAAGGGGAGACGTACTTTGTTTGAAGGGAGGTGTTGGATGATGAAAGTCTCGCATCGACTCATTTAGAGAATGATAAAAAAATACTATCTCCAAATACTATCTTCATTGGTATGAGGCATTTTGGGAAAGCTGAAAAACAAAGCCTGAGAGCTTATGCTCAAAGTGAACCATTTCTATTGAAAGTCCATTAACTTCAAAATATTTAATATTTAAAAAAATAATAATAATACATTTTTCGATTCAATATTCAATTTTTTTAATTAATTAACTAATAAGCCAAAATTAAAAAGTAATTTTAAATAAACTTTTGAGAACCAACATACCGTTTTGAATTTTGTTTTATATTTTTCGAATTTAACCAAAATAAATATAAATAGGTTGGATTTTTTTTTAATATCTTTTTAAATTATTGGATTTAAACAATATTTTTTAAAACTTTTATAACGCAGAATTATATTTAAAAAAAGAATAGAAACATAAATAAATATAGTATTTAATGTTACTAGTATGTTATTAGTGTAATTTAATTTAAATGATTCATCAGCTAAAGAAAAACTCCCTTGAAATTACGTTATAATATGAATAACAAAAGGGAAGGGTTCTGCGCTACATCAAAACTATATCCGAAATCAGCAAATAATAAGTAAACAAAAACACTTCAAAATTCTGATGCTCAAGAAACTAACGACCCAAAAGTAATAACACCAAGTCTCCATGGTTTTTTTCAAGTTATAAAAATGGTCCCTAAGACATTCTTTGAGCAGCTTCTTTGGCGAGCAGCCTCTCCTTGGCTTTAGTTTTAGCCTGTGACTTAGAGCCCATGATTCCTCCTCCCCATTTCTTCCTGTACTCGTCGTATTTGTCGTTGAAATTCGCCTAAAACCAAAGACAGGGAAGAGATTGATTAAAACTAAACTAATGAGATACGATATTAGTCGAGAGGGATCGAACGTCTATATGTAAATCACCTTAATAGCTTCAAGGATCCTGCTGAACTCCAACTTATCTTCGTTCTTTACGGTCGTCAAGCACAGAACTGATGCTGTCTTTTGGTGGACGATCTGTTAGAAAGGGAAAGTTACGAGCATTGGTACTACATCGATCGACTTAAAAAGATTGGGACTTGTATAACAAATAGAGGGCTGTAGTTACCGCTCCCAATCGTGCTTTTCCCTTCACAATGCAATATGGGATTTCCATCTTCCTGCAAAGGGCTGGGAGCCAAACAACCAACTCAATTGGATCCACATCATGTGCAATCACAACCAGCTGTGCTTTGTTCTGGAAAAAAAGACGAGTTCAGAGAACGACATGGTTGAATGGGGTAAACCTTCACAGTTATGGAATAAAATAACACCTGCTCAATGAGGTAGGTAACATGGTTGAGACCATATTTCACAACAATAGGTTTTTTAGCATCATGTGCCTTGCCTTCAGCCTCTTCCTGAGCTCTCTTTAGAAGACGCTCCCTTTTCTGTGCTTTGTCCTCCGGCCTATACTTCAAAAGCATCTTGAACAGGTTTGTTGCTGCATATACATGGCAGATATTAAACTTAAAACCAACACAATGAATACTTCCCAACCAAGATTAACAAAAATTAAAGGCACCGTAAACATAAAATTCAATGAAAACCCAAATAAAATACGTCCAGACGTCTATTGAAACGAGATAAGAATCCATTACATGTTTCCAGCTGACCAAAGAGCATGAGAAGAAAAGACAGCAAAAAAGCCATCTTATTTACAAAAAAAAAAAAAAAAAAAAAAAA